CAGAGGTGAAACCCTCTATCCTCATTCAACTTAATATCCCCCCAAAAAGCAACTCAGGGGAGATTAGTAAGCAAATTCTTGCTGTCTTTATACCCGGAGTTAGAGCTTCCACAGAAAACTCTAAAATAAAGATGAAATGTTGTATAAAAGGAATATGTTTTTCAACATTTTGCTCAATAATGGTTGTTGATTCTTAAAAAAGACCTTTTGATAAGATGCTTATGACACTCACCTGTGTGTGAACAGCATCGTGCTTAGTTCCTGGGTCTGCCCTGGGTGACTATACACAAGTCATTAATTTCAGGCCCCATAAAAGGAGGAACCCAAAAAGCCCCAGATTTATTTATCTAAAAAATTGTGTACTTATTCTTACATGTTCAAACTTCAGTCACCCTCAAAGCACTCTTCGCTTGATGCAAGAAACCTATTGAGACACTTTTTCCACTGCTCAAAACATTTTCTAGACTCATCAATTTTTGTGCCTTTTAGTGCTTCTGCTGTTTTTTGTTTCACCTCTTCCACACCCACAAGATGTTTCCCTTTGAAGACTTGTTCCCAGAGAAACAGAAAAATGTCGCTCTGGCTGAGATCAGGTGAATAGGAAGGGTGGGGTATGGAAGTCAGGACATTTTTGGTCAAAAACTGATGAATACTCAGGGCAGTGTGGGCAAGTGCACTCATAAGACACCATAATGAAATGGGCAAATGTGTTGAGTCTCGGAAAAAAAAAAATTGTAATAACTGAAGCCTAACACAGCCTCTCACAACAATGCTAGCTGGAACACTGATGCTGGTTGGTTCCTAGAACACTTACCTAGTGGGAAAAGCCAGTAGTACTAAAAGGGGTCTGCCCTCCAAAAGATAACTGATGTTTTTTGGGGGGTTCCCCCTCATATTTTGGGGTTTCCAGCATAGAAAACTCTCTCCCTCTGGTATCATTTTGTTATTATCTATGTTCAAGAAAGAAGGAGTGTCAGCATAACTCTAAAAGCCACATGTAGTAATGAACGTGGTGTGACAGCTACTCAAAGTGCTGAAAAAGTAACAGGAAAATGAAGGAAATGGGGTGTTGTTTAGGATTTTGTCAGCTGACTACATCTTCTCTGGATACCATGGCCTCACCAGCCCTCTTGTAAAGTACCTTTTTCTCCTCAGCTTGACACTCAACCCTCTCAACCCCAGGTCACCACCTTCTGCAAGTTAGTGCACATTATCCCTGGTGACACAGTCCATAACAGCTCCTGAATGTGGTAACATTGTAAGTGTGACTCATGCTACACAGCGAACCAAGAACTGCCTCAGGTGAAGCAAATCAGAACCTGCTCCTTTCTAAAACTTCTGCCTCTGTCCTGAAGCTCTGGAACAGGTCTCTGTCAAACAGGCCGTTCTCAGTGGAAGTACCTGGCATGGACTCCCTCTTTCCAGCCTCTTGTCACAGTTGCTTTCTTTCAGAAGGGCTGGAACTTGGGCCTGAAAAACAAATTCACTTTACCTGAAAATTTCATCTTACACCTAGCACCCTAAGCCTGACTCTTTTGGTATTCACCAGAAACGTGCTATCCAATACTGTAGACATTAGCTGTATGCAACCAATGAACACCTTAAATGCGGCCAGAGTCACGAGTTAAGGTAACATTTTAAATGTAATGAGTCAAGGAAAACACATCAGCCAAATTAGCTCTGCTTGCCTCTTTTGACTGTAGCTACTGAAAAATTCTAAATGAGGCTTGTGTTTCTCATCAACTTTCTATAAGACATCACTGCTGCTGACTAGGAATCTGTGCCCTTGAGGGGAGAGGCAGTCTCAACCATACTAGAGGGTTCCAGAGCCTCAGTCCAAACCATGGAACTGGAGACTGCACAAATCTCAGGATAGAGTTACCGCTTGGTGCGACTCTGTCCACGTTCACTTCACAGTCACGTAGGGAGATCTGAGCACTGACCCCTCTGAATAAGTGCCCCCAAGGTTTCAGGCAGGTAATGGCAGCTCCAGGTTTCAGGGAGGTCCGCTGTCAGGAAGAACAAGAGACAGGGAGTCAAGCTCACCTGGATGCGCCTTCTACCCTCTCACCTCCTAGCTTGTGTCCACCCACGTGAAATTCCCTGCACTTAAAAATAAAAATAAAATGGCACGTGTATAACGACCAGCAGGGTCGCTCCGAGGGTTCAATGAACCGTGAAGGACGTGGACAGACAGGTGTCTCCTGACAACAGCTGCTTCCAAGCCACACAGCGATGGTTGCAAGCACCAGATGACTCATTTGACCAAGGACGACCCATTCACTTCTCAGAGCCACCACAGGAGCGACGGCCGCCCCCTTGGGTCCATCGCCCACGCCCTGCACGCCCCGGCCCGCTTCCCCCCTCCCCG